GACAAATTTGTGCAAATATTGTGGATTGAAATACAACTATTGTTGTATCACTTCTCATTTGCATAAATTATAGCTGTGCTGAAAATTAAATTTGATAATAATGTTAATTACAAACACTTCCTGACAAAAGTTGTCGTCGACCCCAGTTGTAAGAGCAAAAAATAACAACTTGACTTTTAGTTGATCAATTAGAAAAGTGGCAGAGGTTAGATTTTTCAGATAAACTGCATCCCAATCATCACAGATACAGCAGAAGACCTATTGGAACCTGCATGGACCCAAGATTCTTACAGAAATCTGTCAAGTTTGGTAAAGGAAAAGGGTGTCCGAGAGATCTGCAGAGTGGATGGCAACAACAACAGCCTTAGGTATTAAGATATTTGAGCTGCCCATTACAAAACAAACCATAGGAGAGGGCAAAATCTTCCGCAGGATAGCACTTTTTTAATACTTCAGCCTCCACATCAAAGTTCCTGAAAGCAAAGAAAATCAAGGTACTACAAGATTGGCCAGCCCAGTCAACTGACATGAACATTATTGAGCATGTCTGGGGTAAGATGGAGGAGGCATTTAAGATGAATCCTAAAGAATCTTGATACACTCTGAGTCTTGCAAAAATGCTTCCTTTGCCATTCCAGATGACTTTATTAATGAGTGATTTGAGTCATTGCAGAGATGTATGGATGCAGTTCTCCAAGCTCATGGGAGTCATACACTTTATTCATTCATCTTCCACTGCACCATGACTTTATATTCTATACTGTACATTATTTCTGTTAAGTGACAAGACTTTTGTCTCAAGAGCCATAGGTGAGAATCAACACCTCCATGTCCGAGGCCATGGTCCTCCACTGGAAAAAGATGGCTTGCCATCTCCAGGTTAGAGGAAAGTGTTTACCCCAGGTGGAGGAGCTCAAGTATCTTGGGGTTTTGTTTACAAGTGAGAGAAGGATGGAATGTGAGATTGACAGACAGATTAGTGGAGTGGCAGCAGTAATGCGGTCGATGTACCAGTCTGTTGTGGTAAAGGAGCTGAACTTAAAGGCAAAGCTCTCGATATACCGGTCAATCTACGTTCCTACTCTGAACTATGGTCATGAGCTTTGGGTCATGACCGAAAGGACAAGGTCTCGCATACAAGCGACCGAAATAAGTTTCCTTCACAGGGTGGTAGGGCACACCTTTATAAATAGGGAGCTCTGTCACCCAGGAGGAGCTCGGAGTAGAGCCGCTGCTCCTCCACACCAAGAGAAGTCAGCTGAGGTCTCTCGGCCATCTGTTTTGGATGCCTTCTGAACGTCTACCTAGGGAGGTGTTCCAGGCATGTCCCACCGGGAGGAGGCCTTGGGGAAGACCCAGGACACGCTGGAGGGACTATGTCTCTCAGCTGGCCTTGGAACGCTTCGGTATTGTAATCTAGAGGTCTTTGCCTTTCATATAAGCCACTTCTGATACCAAATGATCAACTAGAAGTCAGGTTATTATTTGTTGTTCCTAAAATTTGGATAGGCAACAAGACTTTTGTCAGGTAGTGCACACCCTTAAATAAATAACAAGACTATCAACAACTCTACATTTATCTACTTAAAACTCACAGTTCCCAGAGTAGAAAACCTGTTTTAGATCATTACAATCAAAGTATTTGATCACATTCAAAAGATGGATGTTGAAGATGTTGCTCAGCTCCACACACAAATGACATTTCATGGGGGTCATCTGAAGGAAGCCCTTTATCTTACCCTGTCTGAAAAAACAGCCTTCATTCAACAAGTTGCTGTCTCATAAGTGTATTTCACTGGAAGAAACGGGTCAGTTTTAATGAGCTCAGGCCCTGTTTATGAAATTAGACTTGTCCTCTAGACAGACCCCAGAGAGCCGCAGACAGTAGAGACAGCCACTGTAAAGGTCAGGTTGTTTTCTTTCTCATGACTGCTTTCATTTTTCCTGACCTAATCATTAATATGACGTGGAATCTCTTGTTTTTCTGGTATTTACTGTTATTGTTCATTATTGTTCAAGGTTTTGGTGTGTTTTAGCATAGCTCTGTGACCACACACTTAAAAAAAAATGGTTTTGGATGCATTTATTATTAAACATACTGATTTATTTGGTCCACAAAGGTCTAAAGGTGCAGTTCTATTGAGATATATGCGGGAGGCTGGAAATGTGAAGATGTTTTTCATTTGCCATGTTCCAAAGTTATGTTTTGGTTATCTCTGACTTGTAAACCATCATACCTCATGACTTCAAAGCTACAAGTTTAAGTTCTATGACTACCAATATATTTGCTCCTTTTTCTGAAATGATAGTAATTTTGAATATTAGTATTCTACTAAACCATTCAAATCTATATTGTAATTTTGAATTTTGTGCCATTTTATAACTCTAGGTGATCAGTCTAATAGACATTTCACTCATTTGTGAATTAAGTGTGAGATACTGTTCTTTCACCTTTTGTGTCGTTTCTACGGCAACAGTCTTCAGAGTGGATTTCACTTAAATTAATTCGAATTTGCTAAAAAAGGAAGCTGACTAATGGCTTCTCTGGAGACCTACTTTAGCACTTAACCTCTGAGTTATATTAAGGGTTTCTTGAAATATTTATTGGGTATTGTTAAAAATCAATCTCGCTATGGAGATTCTGAATGACATTTTTACTTCCGGAAGCTGGACAGTGAGCCCTATTGCAAGGATGTGTCCTTTTTAGCAGTGATGTGATTGTTTGGCATCAGGGGTCTCTTTATAAGCTTATTGAACATTGTTGATAGCTGCTTTTATGCAAGTGTTTCTTTACTTCTGTTCCATCATTGCATCCTTTTTTGTGTGAAAGGGAAGCTTTAAAACTGCTTTATTTAATAGAATCCTTTACTGATATTATTATTTTTTTATCCTTCAAAATATATATCCCCTGCATCCATCTGTATACATAACCAATTTTTTTCAGACTCTCTACCTAGCATTAAGTCAATTGTGAATGACATGATTTAACAAAATATCTACAGATTGGATCTGCATGCTCTGCTCTGGATTTTAATGTGGTTATAAAGGCAATTGGCTATAGGCAGGTTGCATATTTCATATCTTAAAAAAGAATGGACAGGCCGGGTGCATGCCAAAGCTTTTTAAGTCCAGCAGTCATTATGGCTTGCGGGAAGTAATTTAAATGGCAGAATAACTCACTTTGATGACCCGTGCTGCTGTTTATCAACCCAGTGTTTGTTAGTGGCTCAAGAAACGTCTAGTGATGATAAATAGAGCAAATATTATTTGGAAACCGGGCTTGACATTAGCTTTTTTGATCACCAGCCACTGTAGTTACTAGATTTCCAACATTACTTGCCACTCACCATTTTCACTAGCCACAATTTTGTTGTTGGGAAAATATATTTTAAATGCATGAATTTGACTTTGAAATGTTAATTACTTGATTCAAATTGTATGTTATGTCCACATGGCTCCTCATTTATTTCACTTTTTTGTGTGTTGTGTATGAGCTTGCTTAATTTGATTAAGCAAATGGGTTGTGCTTTTATAGTGTCACATTTATTTAACAATTAGTTTTTATTTCACATGACTTTGCAGGGCTCAAAATTAAGGACTTACCAAATTTATCTCGGACCACATGAAAAATAAATAAATTATTTCTTAGCCACAAATTTTAAATAATGTGTCAAAACAAGCAAAATATAGCTGTATACATGCACTTTTTATTCAACACAACTTTTTTTTTTAAACAATTACATTTAAAAAATAATTATTGTTATGAAAGCGAAAGCAGCAACCGCTGCTGCTTACAAAGGGATATTTTTTAACAAATCTGGAGCTCTTGAAAGCAGCAGGACTGTGGGTACGCAAGCATTGCTTCTTGTCCAGTTTATTTCAAAGAGAACAGATCTCACCAGCTACGTTTCCAGGCACTGTTGCTTCGCACAAGAAAACGCGAGCATGCACACTTTTTAAACATCACCTGTGCGCACGATTTATCATGCTGATAACATTTAATCACATTTGCACGCATTGGGCCGTACTTATTGTCGAATCTTGCTTTTAAGAAAACTACAATTTAAAAATTACTGTTAACTAGCCAAAGTGGATGGTGGTGGTGTCTGTCTAACCCGCCACTACTGAAATCTACCCACATTTGGTGGGTTGACGGGTGTAAATGTCAAGCCCTCTTTGGAAAAAAAGTTGGAATTTTAAGTTTAAATTTTATGAGCTTAGGTAAGTAAGACAGGTTAAGATGCCTCATTTTTGTATAGCAAACTTATGTTGTAGTTTTTTTTTTTACATTTTATTTTTAATTTCAGCCATTGTGAGATATTTGGTTAGTACAATGGTTTTGGGGTTAAAGTCTGGTCACGATTCCAGAATTTGCACTGAAAACCCCAAGTGCCATTTTGTTAAAAGTATTATTTACTTACTCTAATACTTGAAATATCCACTATTATTTTATATAGTCTATATAATATGGAAATATATTTAATATATAAGTATACTATACTATACTATACTTATAATTTATATAAGTATACTTAAATAATTTTTCATATTACTGTTAAAAAACAACATCAATTTTAAATCATTGTTATTGGCAGTGTGATAACATATTATGGTGTTCATTATGATGTTCCTAATTGCAATTTGTTATTTTGTACTTTTTGTAAAAAAGTTGTGAATAGAAAGTCTGGTTAAAGATTAAAATTCCTAGAACAATTGACCATTTTGATATAGTTTGTGATAGCATTTACATAGCCAAAATGATCAAAACCCAAAATGAAAACACAAGAATGCTCATAAGGATGTACGAGGTTAGAATATAAAAGTAAATGCACATTGCACTTATCAGTTTTCCTTTGCTTGTTTTCCTGTTTGCCTTTGAGAAATCTATGGCATTTCTTTTCTGAGGCTTCAACAAGCCAATCAATAGTATTCTCACTCTGAGCAAAAAAAAAAAAAAGAAAGTTGTTTGAAGCTCAATCTGTTTGTTCTCTGTTTTCCAGGAAACCCCTTCGAAAAGAAGAGAACGGCACGAGCCGAGGGGAGTATGCCATGAGCTCACGCTGTAAACAGCAGGTAGTGGAAACCAACAACACTGGAGTATAGAGGCCAACATGCAGCAAGGCAAGCTACCCTACAGCACCACCGGCTCTCTGTTTGGGTTCACGAGATGGACGCAAGGTATATACGAATTTAGAAACTGTAAACTGCACGGCTGCCCTCCTTGGGACATTAAATGGTGTTTAGAGAAAAGAATCAAAGCAAATAAGTGACGTGTATAGGCAAGCATATGTAGGATTTGAGGAGACGACACTTAGCGATGCAGGCAGCTGCACGAGTTTCACAAGACTCAACCTGGTGGCCCTCAGGGGCCCCTTTGAGTATAATATACAACACCAACAACAAAATAGACGCATGCACTTTCTGTTGAATGCAATGATGTTTTGAAATTCCTGTCTTCTCTTGTCTTTAACTCGGTCTCTGCAGTGTTCCTCATTAAACATTAAGGGTTCTCTCGTCTCATGTAGATTGTGTGAGTGTTAAATAACCACATCAACCCCTTATGTTTTGATACGGATTCCAAGTGGATTGGTTGATTCTTCATTTTGTGTACCAAATATACAGTAGAGAACGAGAAGTGCTTTTCTGAAAAGCACCCATAGATTTCTTGCAGTTTGTGTTACTATGCAATTGGAAAGAATTGAGTTCTTGAGGTGCATGCTGATTATACAAAAACACAATGCTAGCATTTGCTTTGCTAATATTTAGATGATTGTAGATGAGTTCCTTTTATTGATATGGTGTAGATTTTAAAGATGCTAAATGTGGCTTATTGGGAAAGAGCTCCAGTTATAAGTACATGAAGAAAGAACAACGGATAATGGATGAGTTTTAAGAAAAAGTTCATTTTAAAATGAGAATTATGTTGTTAGAGCTGATAAATAGCTTCTTTTAAATTTGTATTATTAAGACATTAATCTGTATTATTTTGTTAAAAATAAATCAATAAAAAATGAATCTGTTTTGTCTTAACAATTTGAGTTAGCTGACCCTTGAAAAGAGCAAAGATTAAAATCACTGTCTTTCTCATTTCAATATACTTTAAAAACTCTTCATCTTTGAAACACGGATTATCATCATTTTAATGAAACCTAAGAGGTTTCTGTCCCCTCAATGAACGTCTTCTTAACCATACCTGTAAAGATCCAAAACGCAATAACAATGTATTTGATAATACAGTATAGACCATTTCAATGTGGTGATGTCATTGCCCTATAAACATTTCCTGCTTGTTGTCAAACTATTTCTTTACCGTAACGATGCAATTTGATCATATCTTAAAACAGCCTTTATTAATCAGTATATGGACCATATGGACCTTTTTGGATTCTTGGAAGATATAGAAATTAAAAGTGCAATACAAGAAATACGTTAGGACCATTGATATGGTTTACACCTCTCAAAATGGTCTATATATTATCATTTGTAGGTTACAGTAGTGGCGGTTGTTAGCTAAACATAATGTGGCAGAGAATATCATTGAACATTTGAGATTATTGAAGAATTACTAAACATAACAGTTTGGCTCTTCAAACCCATTTTAGATTTAACTGAAAATTAGGCTTTGACTGAAAATGTTAATTTGCCAGTATTTTGGTGCACCTTTGACTGCTGGATATAATAAACAAATTTAGTTTGATCTTTACATGTTTCCTGAAGCATTTTATCATTTAGTTTTTTTTTTTTTTTTTTTTTTTTGAAGATAACTAAAGTCAAATATTAAGTGAAATATTTCATTAATTTATTTTCCCCATAAAGCTGCTCTGTTCCTCTTGAAGTTCAGACTGCATGATTTTAGCCCCGATTTTGACTCAGAAATCGAGAAATCGGTGCTCGTTCACATGAGTAGTTACAGTATGTATGTTAACAGATAGGTCGCTGATACCTGTCAGATATTTGGCATGCTAAACATCTGGAGCTGTCGGTGATTTAAATCATGCTGTGTGGAATGTATTAACATTCATGTGTGAAAATAACATTGGCAATCACCTACAACTAACAAGAGAGCAGCATCCACTAGTATAGGTATCTGCTGGCCAGCTGAGGATGGGGTAGAAGTTAAAAGCGCTCATTTTCAGTTTATTTGGACCCAAAAAAGGGAGGAAAAACTAGTGAAAATTTGGCAGCAGCACTCATTTCTGTTTGACATGTCTGAGCAATACCACAACTGAGTCAAAAAAATAAATAAATAAAAATAAAAAGATGGAGAGAAACTGCTAATTCCCATTCAAAGCCTTATTTGATTATTGATTATACAGATTATTTGAGAATAAATGCTAAATATAGACTGAGAATAAGGTTAAAATGTTTGGTCATGATAATTGGACAATTTCAAACTATTATAATAATCTAGAAGTTTGACATTCAGTGTTACATAAGGTAATAAACTTTTATGCCAATATTCAATTTATTACGAGAGAAAAAAACGGGAAAGCAAATTAGAAATGATTGAAAATTAAAATGATTTTAAATTAAAAAAAAGTGTGCCTATATATGAGTGTGCACACACAAACACATAAATATATACATATAAATCTTTACATCAGTCAATAGAAATCAGTCACTTTTTTAAAATCGTACATTTTCATACGACTGAACTCGTACGAATTAGCCACTAAACTATAAAAACGTAAAATACTTACGTTTATTCGTGAGATCAGGCTGGGTGTTTAGTTAATTTTCGATTAATATATCTTAAATTCATTTTTTTTGCAGACAAGAGCTTGTATTTAGAAATCAGTGATGCAATCAATGTTCCTGCATAGTAACACGGAACTATGAACCATAATAAACAAGTGAGCAATGATGATTACATCATTTACAGGCCTGTGTAAACAGAAATCCCACTTCATGTCCCACTAAAACATTCCCACAATCTACTGTACAGTCTTTCACCCGTCCAACAAGATACATGTACTGAAGATATATGTGTATTATATTGTACAAAAGGTACTCAGAATTGTATTGCATGAATGTACATATCAATATTTGCCTTCTTGACAGTTTATTGTGTGTACAGAGTAAGAGCAAATGTTTATAGGGATAAGTATAAGTCGATGTGTCGTCAGAACAGAATAAGTTATTGTTTGTCTGGAACAAGCCATTAATGTATATTTGAGTAATCAGAGGTTGTTGCACAATGTATGCATCACATACCAAAATGTAAAACAATTATATATATATATATTGTGCATTGAACTAATTTAACTGCAACTTGCTGACTTTTTTTAGTTTTAAATAAAATTGTACTACTGAATCGCATCTGGTGCTTCTTTGTCGGCGAGAATTGACCTGTGATAATTGAAACTGGCAAATTAATCCCATGACTTGGGATTATTGCACAGCTGTAACATATTGGCCATATTCACAAAAAGGGCTGCCAATCCTTCATTTAAATCATCGATACAGTTTCATTGCGTTCACACACATTTTAGTTATTTGTAGTCACATTTTGTCACACTGAGCATCACTTTAGTGTGAAGCACGAGTAATACTGAATGAACAAACAAATGTGAGTGGGAAAGCAAGTAAATATACAGGTAATGTATTTAGATATGTGTTTTAGTGCAATAGTATTCTCTTTTGGTGCGTTTTCTTATGACACGTCTCATATCAAATGCATGGTAGGTCAGTATGCAGAGAGTAATCTGGTATTTTTTGGCTGTTCAAACTCTAAAACATGAGTAACTACTGATTTAAATAAATGAAATAAGTAGACCATGTTTTAAAGCATTAAATGTCATCCACTTTAGATTAAAATTATTTTTTAATTATTGAAGATGTGTAAACTGTGCTCGTGTTTTGAGATTGTTCAGAGGTACAAAATTAACATTTTTTCAGTAGGGAAAATTACTTTTCTTGTACTTGTTCAAGTAAATGACAGTGACTGTATGTTCTCCTAAGCCGATTATGCTTAATTTAACATATACTTGTATGCAATGTCATGTAAATGTGTTACACAGATTTTTTTTATTGGATACAAATATCCAATCAAAACAAATATATATATATATATATATATATATATATATATATATATATATATATATATATATATATATATATATATATATATATATATATATATATATATATATATATATATATATATATATATATATATATATATATATATATATATATATATATATATATATATATATATATATATATATATATATATATATATATATATATATATATATATATATATATATATATATATATATATATATATATATATATATAATTTATTTATTTTTTATTTATTTTTTTTGGCAAATACCTTGATTTCCATTCTGACGGTTTGATAACCTTTAATAATAAAACCACGGTTTCTCTGTATCATGATATTGTGAGAACTGCTCCAAAATGTGTTCTTTTAAATGTCTGGGTAATATTTTGGAATCATAGATTTTAATGTGGAGGATTGTTTTCTGCTGAAGATAATGTTAATTATCTAATAAATTAAGAAAATAGTTGTAAAAATACATTTACTAATATGTAAATACATACGTTTTAGGAACAACAAATAATATCTTGACTTCTAGTTGATTATTTGGTGTCAGAAGTGGCTTAAATGAAAAGCAGACACCTCTAGATTACACTTATTTTACCAAAATAAAATATGATCATGTCTTGATTTTTAATTATTTAATTAGGAGAGTAGCGTCTGACTTTGCTTAGACAAAAGTATTGTCATTGAACATAAATAATGTACAGTATAGAATATAAAGTCATGGTGCAGTGGAGAAAGAATGAATATTGTGTTTGACTCCCATGAGCTTGGACGACTGCATATATCTCTGCAATGACTCAAATAAAATGGAATGGCGAAAACAGCAGTACTCCCAGCGTTCATCAAAATTCTTTGGATTTATCTTCAATGCCCCCTTCTTCGTCTCAATAATGTTCATGTCTGGTGACTTGGATTGACGACAAGACTTTTGTCAGGTAGTGTATATTTACATATACCCTAGGAACGGTATAAGAGAAAATGTTGACTTTTTAAAAACATTTTCCAAACCTCTGTAAACCTTTAAACCAGTTCCCAGTCCTATGCCTAATGCAAACACAAAAACATTTCCTGAAATAATACGATTTTTTATAGCTGTTAACTGCTTTTATGCATGTTAAGATATTCGACATACAGTACTGTAGCCATGCTGTACATGCACATTTCCAGTCTGTGATAGGATAAATATATAAACAAGGCATGTATGTTTCTAAATCCGCTTGAATCTAATCTCATTACAATGTTGACACCTGATATCTGTCACTCTGGGATTGTTTTGTGGTTGTATGTGGCGGATAATTATATTCTATTAATTGCTAGGATATAATTATCTCCATGCGATTATTGAGCTAAAAATATCTTACCTAAAGACAACAACAACTACAGCGAAGGCTCATGGGACTTGTGTCTGCTTTGTAGAAATAAATTCCTTTCACATTTTTGCATTATTTATTGAGGTGTGTAGTGTAAATTTCATTTACTCAAGTAAAAGTTTAGCATTTAGTAAAGCACAATGTCAGACATTTATGAAAGAGTCAAACTGGGGGAAGGAAAATGTTGCCCTTCTCTGACAGCCGTTACCTGACAAGTGATTTAAAAAAGTGGAATGTCAGGTCTTTTCCATAAGAGCCACAGTACATACACACATTCTCTGTGCTGCCAGATAAATTACCCACAGTTCGGATAAGGATGATAAATTGCTTGGAGGACCCGAAGGCTGAGGCTGTCAGTCAGTCACTTTCACCTGAGAAATTTGATGCTTTAAAATGTTTACACTGTCAATTAGTTGGGCGCCGGTAAGGCTTCCCTGTCAGTCAGAATTATTTGTCTGTTGTTTCATATTATTATTCTGATCCAGTACTGTCATTGAACATCTCACAGATTTATTTAAAGCAATGAAACCCGAAAGCTGAAACTAATCCTATAAATACAGATAACTGTATTAGCAACACTGTAATATGTATTCTTTCATAAGTATTCAGTGAATGTTTACACTTGGATATTAAATATAATGGATATTTCAAATACATCTTTGTAAAGCTATGCTTTTGAGAATATTTATTATAATAGAAATCAGTTACTTTAATTATATTTCACAATATTGAAAAGTATTGCTTGGATTTAAAGAATGCAGCCTTGGTAAGCATAACCGTGCATTAACACGGTGCTTCAGTGCCAACGCTTGACCAAGGGCAGTGTCTGAAGTTTGAGCTTCACTTTGAATGGGTGACGTCAGGCATTGCCTAACTGCATTGTGGATACGTTGGCACCACTTCAGTGGTGTTGCTTGCTGCAGAAGTTGGGAAATTTTCAACATTTCAAGCGCCAGCGGACGCGTCAGCCAATCAGATCGCTTTATGCATATACACCAGCTCAGACAGGAATCGATAGCAGACTAATTTTATTGGCTAACGCTGCTATGATGATTGCCTCAGCCCCAACTTCAGACACACACTGTCAAGCATTGACGCTGAAGCCCTATGTGAATCGGGCGTAAGACACTTAAGATAATACGATTTTACACTTAATAACTATTAAGACGGTTTATTTCCCTGTTGAGACCTCTGAAATATATGAATGAATGAATGAATCAATCAATCAATCACTATTAAATGAATGAATCACTATTATATTGGCATGTTTAATGTTTTAGAAGGACCTTTCTTTAGATTTATAAAAAATTTTATTAAATTTTTTTTTTTACTATTTTCATACACTGAGCAATAAGGTGCAAGACATGTTTGGCATGATTTTCTTGCTATTTTTAGGACAGCGCAACCATAATTTTCACGTTTTGCACCATGTCGTTTCAACTGCAAATCCATTTGTGCTATTTTTTGGACTCATGGACGTGCTGGTCTAAAATAGAGGTGTGTTAAGGCGCATTGTTGGCGCGTTGCTTCTTTTAAGTTCTGAAATAGATTGCACCATTGAGCATCTAAAAGGAGGTCTAAAATCCAGCACATTGCTTAATACACACAGGATGTACAGCAATACACAAATATCTTTACTTGTGAAAAATAAAGGATTAAATTGTTACAAAAATTTTCTACATGAAAAAAAAAATCGATGCCTTCATGCCTCTATGCTTTTTTTCAGTAAATTTATGACAATTTGCATTTGTATAATATTATTATTAGCAATATTATTTATTATATGCATATTTATATTAGTTTTATTAAAAACAAGTTTAGACTTGTCCACCTTTCGGGTTTTGTAGATGTCTGCATCACCATATGGGACATAAGAATAGGATGTGTGTTTGGATACAACTCAGTTTTTTGACCACACTTCATTATTATTGTTCATTTATTAATTTGCTGGAAATTAGAACTGAATTTAGAAATAGTTTTTAAACAAATCTTGGAGTTTAACAAATTAAAATAAATCTGTTGGCAAATGGATGTCTTCAGTGAAGAGCGTACAACACAGTTTCCTTATTCACAAAAGTAAAGGATTAAAGAGTGAAAGTAAAGAGGCCGAATGGAGGAGGCTCATTCTATATCCTTTGCACAGATTGTTTGTTTAACTGTATTTTTGCCAGTGAAGCGTTCAGTTTTTCCACTTACAAAGTCCGACATGTAAATTTCAAATGCACCATGACGTGATGCATCTGACTCCTGAAGGGAATAGGAGACGAGACTCTGATTGGTTGAATGCTCGTTATGCACAAAACACACACATTACTCATTAAGAGAATAAGCACAACCCTGGTAGACCATACACCAGGGCGTAGAGCGTATTTTTCAGTCCTTGAAATAGCAAAAGTGTATTCAGACACGCACTTAATGCTTTTGCGTCATGCACTTTAGACTTTGCGCCTAGATCGTTAAAATAGAGCCCTATAGTTGAAAATTTGATAGTGTGAAAACTAAACTCTTTATCAGGACTTCTATAGACATAATGATTGTGACACTGTACAACCTGTAAATTCTATCCCCTAACCCTCACAGGAATCAATGAATACATTTTTCAATTTCAAAATACCCAATTCTGTGAGATTTACGAGCTGTTTCCCCTATGTGGACAAAGAAAAGTATTTCTACGAAGTCAAAATTGACTGATATTGCTGTTCTTGTGCATGGGCACATACACACATATAGCACACACACAGTTAAGTTGGTTTCATAAATATATTTATATAATTATGTAAGTGTGTGTTTTCATTCATCAACAAGTTTTGGAATATACAGCTCTTTTTTTCCTCCAGGCAGCCACACATAGGCCGCTGGCAAAATAAG